GAGAACATTTGAACCGGCACATTAGAAAGCTTTGCGTGCTAGAAGGTATAGACGAAGTTTAGGTATGCCGCTTGTGAATAGGGCGTACCTGGATTTAGCACCAGCGATTGTGGCAAGAGTAAATAGTACCATTTTCTCTTGGGGTCGAGCTCATGGGGCGCAGTAACGAGCAAAGCTGTAGGTAAAGCCGTGCCGGCTTAGAGGAGGCGGCGTTGAATCTGTTTGCACTCAAAATTCTGTTTAGTCACCTCTCTCTCATTGTCATGGTCTTGACCCGTGCGTATTATCGATCACCAAACATGCACTTTTCGTTCACTAAGAATGACATTCTCTGCTTGCCCACCAAGCCGATTAATTTCCCCCCCCCCCCCTCTTCCCATGACCGTTGTCCCTGACCCTGACATGATCTGACTCATCCTGTCCTCTGATTATCGTATCGGTTGCTGAATCTTATTGGGATTGGCCCTCTGTCTCACCCATGTGTCTCACTGTACCATGTTCACCAGTGCGCTCTGACTTTATTTCGCTAAACGCTTTTATGCCGATTCACGCATGCCCCCTGGGAACGCCATGATCTGAGGTGTGTTCTTTGTGCCATTGTAACGGTTAATATTGACAGTACCGCATCAGTATTCACTATTGTTTGGAGTCGAAAAAACCTGTAGAACATTTGAACTTGGTTTCTGAGGTTGCACGCCATTGAACGTTGGCCCAGATAGACCTTTGAACCTAAAACACTCAATGAAACAAGTGAAACGTAGACGGGACAGCACCATGTTGGTTAGGGGCTGCCCAGTTTGGAAGTGTGGTTACTATCCAAGAGGAGGTCCCAGGTACTCCGCTCGTACGTCAATCTAGCGATTTTTTGACCAGTAACCTGCCCCTCAAAGGGGTTTACGCTGGAGTGCCCCATGGAAGGGCGAGTGTGGATAGTCAATGGAAACCAGGTGTCCAAGCAGCGGGCTTTGTGAGACTGTGCTTTGTTTGGCCTCTACACATTGGCCTTTCAGGCATGATTGTATCTCCGGCATCCTGTATAGCTCCCAGGGTTTTGGAGGCACGCAAGCTATCACGCCACGTAAAGGTGCAGTCTCGGCGCGATGAGAAGAGTAAATACAATTATATGCATCATCTTACATAATTTGAAGTCGGTTAGAATGAACAATGGTTTTCGTTAACGGGGACAAATAAATTGAAGAATATCCCGGAAAAGCAAACTGTGGTGCTATATGGGGAACCATAATACGGTCCAAAATTAATAAGAATCTCCAAAACACCCAGCGGAAGAAGTCCTTGGTGGGATCTTAACTTCTATAGCGAATAACTAAATCGCACCTGGATGAAATTCAACCGAACCTGGGATTCTTATGCAAACTGCTGGNAATTATGGGAACATTATAGACAACACGGGGTCATATGAATACGTGCGGTATCCTAGAGTAAATACAGAACTAATCGAAAACACTTCGACCAGTCCAGATATACCGAATTCGACGTTTCTAAACAATTCATCATTACTGACAAAAACCCACCACTGCATACAAGTTCTACACAACAGCGTTCCGGTACTCATAAACAGTATCTTAGAAACAATCCAAGGACTCAGTTCATACAATCTCAGACATTTAGGAACCTGTGTTACAGCCTCAAGCTATAAGCAATTAGGTTGTTCGGAGCTTTGACTAACCTGTTGCAAATTCACTGTACTGGGATCCCGGGTGCCGAGTGGACCTGAACGAAGACCAAACTTGCCCATGAAAAATCCATTGGTGTCAACCAGACTGTGCACGTGGCTTGAGGGACAAAGTGGCGTANTGAGGGACAAAGTGGCGTACCTTCGGTAAGGTTTATATGCAAACCTGGAGAAGAAAGAAAAACATTGTTCGCGCACATAATGATAAGTATGGAAAAGTAATTACCGTATTCTATATTGACTCTAGTTAACAGTTAAAAAGGATTTATACACTCTTCTAAGTCCATATACGAAGGAATAATGAAGTTCTGCCATAACTATCCGCATTGAAACTGTTTTGGTTTATGAAAAAGTGCAGCGGTTTGGTCGTTGTGACCGGACCCTATAATCCGAGGTTCAAGCCCAGCCACTACCACCCACCTTTCGTGGTGGGCAGTTTTGCGGTCGTCCGGTTCAGTACCACGACTAATCTATCGGTGCCGTATGTGGTTCACCATTCCAAGCCATGGAGCTAAGGTTACTGGTTTTTATCACTGAACAGCAGGTCTTATTCACATTGGGGTCCACTTCATCCTCTGTTTATCACAAGAGGACACACTTTTATCACACAGTAAATTACAGTAAAAGGGATGAACCATATGGTCAAAGACATACTGTAAAAGAGAAGGTATGGTGCTTTTCATTCGTTAGACGTCTAATGTAAAGCTTTTTTCTTTGTAACATGTTGAAAGTGGTGAAAATCCACCATACTGGGTGCATTGAGCTTAATCCGATCATATAAATGATTGAAATGCGGGAATGGAGTTTCCGAACTTCACAGTCCTGATGATGAGAAGATAAAAGTCTAACATACGAGGCCGGAGACTTGATAAGGGTGACTGCCCGCCTGAAAACGAGATGGAGGTTTATGTACTTCTCAGGCACACCACTTTTTAACAGACAAGTCCAGAGATTTGCTCTATCGACTGAGTTAAAAGCAGCACGTATGTCCAAAAAGACAACGATGGTCGATCTACTGAACGTTTGATGTTGCTCGAGAATTTGATGTAGCGTAGACATGTGATCAACGCAGCTCCTGCCGGAGGGCAATTCAGCTTGTTCTTCGCAGATGCCACACTCTCGTCAAACTAAGCTTGCGAAGGATCAACGATGTTAAGATCTCAGATGCGACAGGGATGAGACTAATCGCTCGGTGACTGAAGCAATCGTGGCAGTAGTCCCTCTTGAAAATAGGTGAGACGCCCGCCAAACCACATTCGGATGGAATGGATTCAGTATTCCAGATGGATTGTGTTAAGACCGAATTCCAACCGTGACGCTATGCACGGTATTTTTAGAGCCCGTAACCCAACACAAGAAATCAAAACATAAAAGAGAGCGTGATGATCGGAATCGGGTTAACGATTTAATGAGTGATCGTGAGAGTACATCAATCGATTAAACGACGACCTAAAACTAATTTAAGGTGGCGCACGGACAAAACGGATTGGAAGAGTATTAGTCAATGTGTGTCATGAGCAACTGTGTCACGTGATTGGATTAGCAATGGGAATTGATAGATGAATGCGTAAGTAGAAGTTTGGAATAAGGAAGTTAGTTCTTGGAACCGTCGTTGGTCACGCAGCTATCCAAGTACGAGAAGCAGTCAACTTCAGCTAATTCCGGACAGTCTAGTTGCAGAACGGGATTCGACGACATCCAGTCTTGAGGAATCACTTTGCATTTTGAAGGTGCAAAGCGGAAGCCGAACGGAGCAACAGAACTTGCTAGTCTGTCAAGTGCGCTTTGTGCATCCTCCAAACATCCGAACAGGCAAACCATGTCGTCAGCGTACTCTAAATTGCGCAGCTTTTCTCCAGCTGCCCATTCGATACCATTTTATTTATCGATTTCGACACGTAACCATTTGCACAGAACCGGCAAATGTACAACAACATAAGAACAAAGAATCTGTAGAATGTGTTCATAGGTTCACTCAATACCAATAACTTGGAGACCAATTAGTGCGTTCGTCAGTACTACGCATAAGAAAAAATTGAACAGCAACGGGAAAAATGCACCCTTGACGAACACTGCTGCTAGTTCCGAACGACCCACTCAGCTTGCCGAGGACCCTTACGCCACTAGAAGTATTAAATTAGAGTGACCTCAGTATGTTCGCATGCCCGTGCGGCATTCCGTTGGAAAGGAGCAAACCCATAAGGGTCCACTGAGTTCAAGACTCCTTTTAGGTCAGGAAAAATGACAACCGTTGGTTGACGGGGCGTATGACATTGTTAAGGGAATTGACGCAAAGCGAAGATCTGGTTGATACAACCGCAACCAGGTAGAAATCGTAGTTGTTGTTAGTGGATATTGGTCTTTCTGAACGGTATCAGAGGTCAAACTATGACAGAGGCTATTACCTATTACCTTGGTGACGATTGGGATCAAACTTATTCCCGGGTGGTTTGCGCAGTCGTTCCATCAAGGCGAGACTGCACCTTTACGTGTGATGGCTTGCGTACCTCCATGGCCCTGTGAGCTATACAGGATGTCTCCTCACAGCCGCACATCCAACCATGCCTGAAAGGTCAATGGATAGGGACCAGACAAAGATCAGCCTTACAAGGCCAGCTGTGTGGGTACCTCGTGGCTTCCTTTCACTATCCACTCCATCCCCTGGAGAGGTCACTCCAACAAAAAGCACGGTGAGGGGCAGTTTATTGATCAAAAAACCCCGGTGAATGGACCTATGAGCGTGTGCTTCGTTCACGCCCCCGCGTTGCATCTACGGCCCACTGCCTTGTGGGTCAGATTTTTTAGTTAAAGGATGGTTAAGGATAATCAAAGAAAAATTACTTCGTCGGTGTGGGCTACCGCGAAGTATGTCGTGCCCCAAAGTCATAGGTACCCATTTCGAAAACCATCTTTCTCAACTGTCCACTTTCTATTCTTTTTCGCTAAATGCACAGAGTCATTAGGTAGAGTAGGTGTTTCGCGCCTTCCAGGTTGGGGTCCGAAAGAATCCACAACTGGTTACTTGGAGAGACTGAAGGATATGGCAGCGAACCGGCAGTTCTTGCTGTCCTTTCTTATCAGGTCAGAATGCTTGAAACTGTGTATGTAGAGCTCGATTGCGTACTCTGTGTGTTGACCATAGTGGCTCATCTTCTTCTGCCTCCCTCAAAATAGATCCAATCCCTGTCCACCTTAAATTTTGCCACTAACACCGTATGCATTGCGAGTTTGGCAGCGATCAGTGAAGTTCGCTTCCCTGTAATTCGCTGTACCGTGATGATGATGATGATATTGTCACTCCCAAACCTTAGGAGATGCAGCCAGGTTGTGACACCAATGGAATATCAGCGTTCAACTAATGAGGTCAACCACTTTGAGACCATACGATTTTTCGAACCAAAATCTTCTTATCATTTAGCCGCATTTAATGTCCGCATATTCGACCAGATCCGTCAACAAGCTGCCTTAGCTAGAACCCTTTTAACTTTCAATTTGGGTGTGTTGTCTCTTCCATGGATCCCCGCTAGCGGTGGCTGTCTGCGAAACAAGCATACAACACCCTAATCAATCATTTTCCTGCGTTCTCCGGATCCAACCTAATCAGAAGCTTGCGGTTCCTGGTGTTGGGATAGCGCTGAATATCCTTGTCATCATCATCATCATCATTATTATCATCATCGTCGTCGTCGTCGTACAGCGAGATACCGTGAAGCGAGCTTCACTGATCGCTGCCAAGCTAACAATGTACACAAATCAAGTGATAAAGCACAAGATGGAGTGGGATTGGCTCTACTTGGAGGGGGGCAAAGAAAAAGAATCTCTATGTTCAACACACAGAGCACACAATTTAAGTGGGCATGCATACCTTTTTACAAGCATTCTGCCTTGTTAAGATATACAAGTATACAAGACCTTTCAGTTTCAATGAAACATCGCGTCTACACCAAAGATGTTTCAATCCTCAGTAAGCTGCTGGAGCCTTGGAAATGCGGGCGGTTACTTCATTGACTATGCTACCGTCATTTGAAACGCAGCTAACCAAGTTGGTGAAACATTCCACTACAGCTAATTCTTGACCATCAAGCATCAGCGCTGGGGTAGACGACACCCAGTCTTGTAGCATCACTTTGCACTCTGAAGGTGCAAAGCGCACGCCGAAAGGAGACACAGAACTTGCTAGTCTGTCAAGAGCACATTGCGCATCCTCCATAGATTCGAACAAGCATATGATGTCATCAGCGTATTCTAAATCGCCAAGTTTTTCTCCAGCTGCCCATTCAATACCTACGTCCTGGAGATCAGTAAGTGCGTTCTCCGTCGTCGTATCCGTGTATGCAACGACTGACTACAGTTCGCCAGAAATGAATGATGAATTCTACGAGGAACTCCCTCAACTGCTCCAAAGTGCTCGGCCAACGGACATCTTAGTAGTCGCTGGAAACTTCAATGCTCAAGTTGGACCCTGGAAGAATCAGAAAGGCTACTTGGTGATTCACATGCAATCCCAGCTAACCGGACTGACAACGGAGAATGCCTACTCCAAATTTGCGCCGACCACAGACTGTTTCTGTCAAGCACGAACATCTAGCACAAGAAACGACACGGCTTTACATGGAGACCGCCTATTTCTTCGCACCGCAGGACTCAAATTAACCACATCCCCATCAGCCACCGCTGGCGAGGATCCATTAAAGACTACCGCTCCCAATGGCCAAAATCCGTTGACACAGACCATGCTCTGCTGCGAGCGAGATTTTTGCTACGCCTAGTAAACAACCACAGAAAAGTTACCGAATACAGATGCCCACAATACAGCAATGTTTGCAAATCGGCCTTCGAAGCGGAACCATCATATCGCCTCTCAGCTTAACGAACAGCCGGCGGACTCAGTGAACACTGGACGGCAATCTGCTGCGAATCGGCGATCATACCGATTCCCAAGAAAGGCAACAAGTCATCTTTTGAAAACCAAAGAGAAAGTAGTTTAATAAACATCGTCTCTAAAATTCTCGCCGGGATTATACTGCGTCGATTGTCTGCCGCACGTGAACAGTGCACACGTG